TTGCTAATTAAAATTTCAAAATCCTTCATTCAAACTGCGTATTTCGCTTTTGAATTCATTCATTCATTGTTTATTTATGTTATGTGTACATTTCGTTCGTGTTTCACTTTTTGATTATGTTGTATGCATTAGAGAAAACCCCGAAGCGACGTGGATTATTGATAACAGCTTCATTTCTTGTACGCCTTCAAACTCGGTCCATTTGGAGTACAAAAGAGATGGCTTTACATTCACCGATCGATCAGTTCGAGGAAAATTCATAAATCATGTTTCAAGCAAGTGAAGCAAAGATATTCTTGACTCCCCACTGATCCAACCCATTGTAGTTACAAATCTAGACTGGGTTTTGTAAACATTACTTTAAAACAGCTTCAAATCAAATTTCTAAGTTTAATTTTTTAATTTTAAAATAATTATTTTACGTTTATTTTTTAACTTTTGAAAAAAAATATATTGAAAAAATCAATTAACAAAATTTGTTGTTTTTTCAAAAAAGTTACGTATTTAATGCGGATCATTTATCACATATTAAATAAGAACGTTTCTGAACTTATGCCGTGTTAAATGTTTAATGGGACAGCTGTCACGAAATGACAACTGTCACAAAAGTCACGAAATGACAGCTGTCATCAAAGTCACGAAATGACAGCGATTAACTGTCAGCTACAACATACAAATATGTTGGCTGCAAAAATATTGAGAAACTCTTTAATTATTATTTGAAAATCGTTAATTATTTCCTAAATGACGATTCTTTAACGACATTTTGTATATTATTTTAATTGGAATAATTACAAACTACAAACGTTTTATTTTTAAGTAATTACATTTGCAGTCTTTAAAAACTCTTAACTTTTAACTTCCTTTGACTTAGTTAATTAGTACTTGGAAAAACACTTATCGAAGCTACCATTAATTATAACTAGAGGACCTTACTTGTTACTTGCAATAAAAAACGACCGCTTTGTGCCCTCTGGCGTCATTATAATAAATAGTGCCTTGTGACTTGTCCACCCTTCCCAAGTGGATGTCCCAGAAGGGCCATTAGTTACACGTACTGACGCTGTAAAAAAGAACTTAAAAAAGTATATGAATCTTATTACAAATAATTCGTGTTTATTTGTATATCTATAATGTATTTCCAATGTACAAACTAATTATTTATCAAAAAATACTGTTATTTTTATTTGTAATTGTATATAAAATTACATAAATGATTACAGACAACTTTCATCGAAGTTAAGCCGTAAAGATTTTCAAATAATTATAACTGATAGGAAAATTATTATATAAAAAATATTTGAAAATTCATATTTTATACATTTTTGTGGCTCTTTTATTTACATTATTTTTTAATTTGACACGAGATTTGAACTCGCAACCTTTGTTTAAATTATTGGAATTTTCTATTGACAGTTTCGCTTAGTTCCAATGTATAAGATAGATGGAGTTAGTAGAATCTTCATAGTAGATCCAATGTTTCGGCAATGCTTGAAGTATTCAAGTATATTATACTAAATTAATTTACGAATTTCGTTTAATTAACCTAATATTAATATTTTTTAATTTAAAGTTCTTACATTTTCTTAATTTTAGCTTATAAATTTTATAAACATTTCCTTTAATTTATCTAAATTTTAGTTCATTAATTTATTAGGACTTCATACAAATGAAAATCCTATTCAAACTCTATAAATACTTTAGTGTTTTTTTTCTTCTATAATACAAAAATCTACGAGTTTGTTACATAACAAAGAACTAACTTTTCGAATCAATACCTGAACTCCCCTTTCACAAACCATATTTAATTATTAACCTCCCTTTTGCAAAAGGGGTCAAAGGCCTACTGTATACTACTATACCTTTGGTCATATTAGATTGGCATATGCTGCAGAATGTATCGATTCTCTGAGCTTTTCTTCTGCATACCTAAAGGCAATCAATACTTGACCGCATAACAAAAAAATAAAGAAATTTGGCACATTAATGTCTTAACTTTATATTAATTTTTTAAACCGTATGTTACATTCATGTAACCACACGTTTCCTAACTTTGTTCCATTAAAAAAGTTTTCGTTCGGACGGATGTCGCTTCAGTTTCAGTTGTTGCAACAGAATTACGAAACTCTGTAATTTAGTCAAGTGCATTTACTACCGGAAGTGTATAGTCTACTTGTCTAAGATCGAATTATAAAGTTCGCAGCCTCTAAACTTTACGATTAGTGCATGGAATGTGAATATTTCGAACAAGTTGCTCTACAAAGAGATTTACGTTTCTAAAAGAATTTTAGTTATTTGTATACTATTAATATTATTCTCTTCATTATATAATTACACTACAAAAAAAATATTAAATAAAAACTTTTTATCGGAACTTTATTTTATTACAAATGTTAATTTGAAAAAAATATTCAAATAATTTGCATATAAAAATGTTATGTAACTAAACTAATTGCCTCTATTCGAATTAATATGTTTCATTTAAATGCATGAAATTCATCCAACTTTTTTGTCCCATAAAATATTTTATTTATTTAAATCATACTGCTAATTAATACATATATACAAAACCTTGCATAGTGCGGCTTTAATTAGTCCGGATTTTATATAATAATTCGGTTTGAAAATTTACTGTTTCAAAGTCCTCAATTAGTCCGGATTCAAACAGTTCGTAACTCATGATTCTCATTTTACGAATTATATAAAAAAATAAAGATTTTGAACGAATTTTGTAAAAATTTATTTATTAAAAAAAAAACTTCTCATTGAATTTCATTAATTCATTTTTAATCAAATAATTATTAAGTATATACTAATTATTACTACGAGAAACGTTTATTTAATCAAAGAAGTTTGTTTTTCATTAGGATTTTATTACAATTATTAATTCGAAAAAAATATTTTTATTCAATGAATTTTCGCATCTAATACAATCATAGATATACAGCAAATCCTATCATAGTGCGGCTTCAATTAGTCTGGATTAAATATATTATTATTTGAAAATGTTCGGTTTCACAGTCCTCGAATAGTCCGGATTCAATCAGTCCGTAAATCATGATTCTCGAAAAAAATATGTTTATTCAATGAATATTTGCATGTTTTTTTATTCAAATAATTTCCATATATACACATTTTATGCATATGAACTAATTGATTCCATTTGAACTAATATGTTCTATTTATATGTATGAAATTCATACATTATTTTGTCCCATAAAATATTTCATTTATTTAAATTGTACTGTCAATTAATGTAATAGGAGAAATTCCGCAAAACCTTGCTAGTGCGGCTTCAATTAGTCCGGATTAAATATAATAATTCGGTTTGAAAATTTACGGTTTCAACGTCCTCGATTAGTTCGGATTCAAACAGTCCGTAAATAATGATTCTCACTTTACGAATTATATAAAAAAAAATAAAGATTTCGAATGAATTTTGTAAAAATTAACTTATTTAAAAAAAAAACTTCTTATTGGATATTTTTACGGTTTCAAAGTCTTCGATTAGTCCGGATTCAAACAATCCGTAAATAATGATTCTCTCTTTACGAATTGTATAAAAAAATAAAGATTTCGAATGAATTTTGTTAAAATAAACTTAGATAAAAAAACATCTTATTGGATATTTTTTATTAGAAATTTCATTATTTCATTCTTAATCAAATAAATATTAATTATATATTAATTATTACTACGAGAAATCATTAGGATTTTATTACAATTTTTAATTTGAAAAACATATTTTTATTCAATGAATATTTGTACCTAAAACAATCATAGATATACAACAAATTATACCATAGTGCGGTTTCAATTAGTCCGGATTAAATATAATACTATTTGAAACAGACCCTAAATCATGATTCTCGAAAAAAATATTCTTATTCAATGACTATTTGTATATTTTTTTTATTCAAATAATCTCGATCTGAACTAATTGATTCCATTTGAACTAATGTTTTATTTAAATTCTACTGTCAATTAATACAATCATGGTTATACAGTAAAACCTCGCATAGTGCGGCTTCAATTAGTCCGGATTAAATATAATACGGTTTCAAAGTCCTCGATTAGTCCGGATTCAAACAGTCCGTAAATCATGATTCTCAATTTACGAATTATATACAAAAAAATAAAGATTTCGAGAAAATTTCATTATTTCATTCTTAATCAAATAATTATTAATTAAATAATAATTATTACTACGAGCAACGTTTATTTAATCAAATAAAAATGGTTTTTTTTTTCATATTTTTCGTTTGAATTTTATTACAATTTTTAATTTGAAAAAAAAAATTTAATTCAATGAATTTTTGCATCTAATACAATCATAGATATACAGCAAATCCTAGCATAGTGCGGCTTAACTTAGTCCGGATTAAATATAACACGCTCCGAATTAAGTATAACAAGTCCTCGTTTAGTCCGGATTGAAATAGTTCGTAAATTATTATTTACACTTTACGAATTATAAGATTTTGAATTAATTTTGTAAAAATATTATTGTATATAAAAAAGTGTATTTTTTTCAAGAAAATATGTTTAAAATCAATATTGAATTGAAATTACCGCAAAATTTTACGTTTTTTTTATTACATCTGCAATGTACATTGAACGATGAAATATTGCGTTAATCAATTTGAAATGATACATACTTTTTTTTACCACATTTCCAAAATGATGGATTCGTTTCCATACGCGAATTGAGAGCAGGTTCAATTAATTCATCTAAAATCAATGTTTCCATTTCGTGCAATGCATTTTTCATGTTTTATCATTAATTCCGTTTTCATTACGAACTTTACACATACACATTTTTTTCTGTTGTTGTTTATCAATTTTATTCATTACACCACGTTATGTTTCTAGTTTCGTTTATATACGTTTATTATGCATTTTTTTTATTTATGTTTTATTCATATTGTTTTTTGTATTGTTATTTTTTGTATATTTTTGTTTTGTTCATTTTTGTTTTGTTTTACACGCACTTTTTGAAGGTCAACTGGCCGCGTCTCGATGGAGAAGTAAATTCGGTAGGCCCAGTAAGTTGCCCAGATTGGGCGACGTCGATCCCACGGGATCTTATTGTCCCGTCCCAGAGGATTGGCTCAAACGCAAACACGGTAAAACCACACACAAATCTCAGTTGCTTTTGGGATATTTTTTTGTTTATTTTTGGTTTTTTTCAATTGTTAACCGTAATTTTCACTAACAAAAACACATAACATCTGCATGAAAAAACTAATATGTTTGATCGCTTTTTAACATTTGCTTCGTAATTGTGCCTTTCCTTGTTTTTTTTGTATTTTCTTTTTTCAGGATTTTGATTTTTCTTTCAGAAAATCCGTCAGAATATAATGGATTTAAAGAAAATTTATCTTATTTCAATGTAATTAGTTTAAATTTCATTTTTTTCGAATACAATTATTAATTACAATGTAACAAATTATGAAATAGAAGAAGTATTTTCATCATTTTTCATAATTTTTAATAAAAATGTCTTATTTCAATGTAAATAGTTTATATTTCAATCTTGAAAGACAATTATTAATTTGTTACATTTTAATTATGAAATAGTAAAATTATTTTCGTAATATTTTGATAATGATAATTTATAATGAAAATATTGTATTAAATATAATGTAACAAAGAATAAGATCTGTAATACATTTAAAATTTCATTATTTATAGTCTTAGGTTTATTTTTTTTAAATCATTAATTTATTGAAAAAATGTGTTAGAAAAAAAACTGAATGTAAAATATAAAATGACAGGTTTTTGTACGGTTCTGCCAATATCACGGACTAATTCCTAACCTAACTTAATCACTTACCTAATCCCGAACCTAACATCTAACCTAACCTCTAACCTAACCTCTAACCTAACCTCTAACCTAACGTCTAACCTCTAACCTAAACTCTAACCTAACCTCTAACCTAACCTCTAACCTAACCACTAACCCAACTTCTAATCTAACCTCTAACCTAAACTCTAACCTAACCTCTAACATAACCTAACCTCTAACCTAACCACTCACCTAACTTCTAACCTAACCTCTAACATAATACCTAACATAACCTATTCTCTAACCTAAACTCTAACATAATCTGTACCCTAATCTCTAACATAACCTAATCCCTAACCTAAAAAAATGGATTTAGGAAATTATTCAAGCTAATTTAATTATTTTCGTTAAATTTCATTTATTAAGGCTTTTACTCAGAAAAATGTTCGAAACATATTCGTTACATTAAAAAACAAGTCTATAAAATATTTCAAATTTTATTAATTATAAGATTAATAAATTATAAAAAAAAAATTGAAATTTTTGTCAAATTTTATCAAGGATTTTGTTTAGAAAAAGATCAAAAAATTATGCGATTAAATTAATATTTATTTAATGATAATTAATAGTGAAAATACATTATAAATCATTGAAGTATAATAATCTAGAAAAAAGTAAAAAAATCTATAGAAAATCTTCAAATATATGTAAATTTTCTGATAATTTTCTATAATAAACAATAAATTGTCGAAATTTGATTAAAATTGAGCAAAAATTAAAGTAAATGTGAAATAAACTTTTATCAATAAAGTTTAAATAATATTATTTTGGCAATTTATAGTTAAAATTTAGAAAATTACAGTATTTTACATTAAAATTTTGTTCGAATTACTTTAATATATGTCGCAAATTTACTTTCTGGCGGAGTTTCGAACTGTATGACTATAATTGTATTGATTTATATGCCAGACGCAGAATTGGGTAAAGCAAAAGCGGACAAAAACAAGGGGAAAAATAAGTCCGTAAACCACGAAACGAATTACATAAAAAATAAATAAAACTAATACTAAATATCCTTGAATCTAATCTAATCGCATACGTTTTAATTAGACTTAATTCATTAGTTTCCTCGCACGTTTTATTAACTCTAATCAAATCCCAGACCTTTATACTATACTCCATGCACGTAATTAGATAACAAGTGAAAACAATGGGTTCGATTTGTATCTGCTGTGAATGACTGTAGTTTTTTACTTAACAAATAATGATGGTTAAGGTTGAATAAAATTCCAAAAATATAGGGATGAACTAAAAAAAAAATTAAAACAAGTATGTTGTTATATAACATCGATTTTGTTTGCATCTATTTGAGATGTGACAGGAAATTGTTCATCCTGCGGAAAATTAATGCTTCCTTTGTTCTTTTTCTAGCCGAATCGGTGCCGCATCCAACAAATAGGCAGCTAATCGACAGTAAGTTCTCATCAAATAGGATTTGAAGGGGATTACTGAAATCCTTATTTTTTTTTCAGTTGCAGTTGCGAATTCGATTCCCTTCGTCGGGTTTGGATTCTTAGATAATTTCTTCATGCTGTTATTTGTAAGTAAATTGAAAATTTTATATCTTTTGTACTTTTAATTTTATTACATAATTTCATCATTTTTTTATTACTTTTCATCATTTTTTTTTTCATATTTTCTTCAAGTTTTTTGAACTTTTTAATAATTTTATTACATTGACATTTGTAAGTAAATTCATTGTTTTTATTATTTTTCATCAGTTCTTTCATTAGCTTTTTATTTTTAGTATTTGTTTATTGCATACAAGTTATTTTTAATTACTTTTCATAAATTAATTTGTTTCATATTTTCTTCAAGTTTTTTAACTTTTTATTATATAATTTCATCATGTTGACATTTGTAAGTCAATTCATTTTTTGATTACTTTTCATCAATTAATTTTCTTTCAAAATTTCTTTAAGTTGTTTTGATCAGTTTTAGCACAGTTCATTAACCAATTTTATTGCATAAATTCATCATGTTAAAATTTGTTAGTCAATTCATTTATTGATAACTTTTCTTCAATGAATTTTCTTACATAACTTCTTCAAGTTGTTTTTTTATTAGTTTTTGCACATTTCATTAACCAATTTTATTGCATTATTTCATTATGTTGATATTTGTAAGTCAATTTTTGTTTTGATTACTTTTCATTATTGAATTTTCTTTCATAATTTCTTCAAGTTGTTTTTATCAGTTTTTGCACTTTTCATTAACGATTTCATTGTATAATTTCATCATGTTGAGATTTGTAAATCAATTCATTTTTTGATTACTTTTCATCAATGAATTTTCTTGCATAATTTCTTCAACTTGTTTTTATTAGTTTTTACACTTTTCATTAACGAATTTTATTGCATTAGTACATCATGTTGAGATTTGTAAGTCAATATATTGTTTGATTACCTTTCATCAATGAATTTTCTTTCATAATTTCTTCAAGTTGTTTTTGTCAGTTTTTGCACTTTTCATTAACGAA